CGTATGGCAGTAAAAACGTGCGGCACGAAACACGCGACAAACGCGCATATTCGATATGCCTAGGTGTGAACCCAGCCTTAGGGACCAGAACTCTGAAAATCAAATGTCCCCATTTTGAAGCCTTATGTACAAGTTATTGGCCATAAAAAAGGTACGGGGATTTGGGGGTCATGTCTCAATGAAAAAAACACTTTTAGAAAATACAGTTTTTAAAGGAGCAGTGATTTTAAAATTGCTTAAAGTGAAACAATAAAAATGAATAATTGTGAATGAGTAAGGGATACTTGTAATCCTACCCATTCACTAAAGAGTTAAAAATTATTATAAATAAAAATACTTTTAGAAAAAAAATCTTTTAATTGAAAAAAAAAGACAAGTTTTTGACAAAAAAATGGATCCACCGACGTAATCCAGCGTCAATCACAACGTCCAGCATTGTCCACGATGACAAGGACTCGACAAAATGAAAAATAAAACAAGAAAAAATAAATAGAACTACCAAATGGCATTTTGACAGATGCAAGCATCTAAACAATTTGACGAAGCTAGCGGTGACTGGTAGCTCCACCCAACTGTTTACAGTTGTACGACATCTGACAGGTGAGCCATGATTGGGCAAAGTCATCATGACTTTGCCCAATCATGGCTCTTACAGATTTCTGTGCCCTGATTGGGCAAAGTCTTGGGCTTTAGCCGATCAGGGCTCACAAGGCACTGTGCGGTGCAGAGTGCCTTGTGGGGCGCTCGGCAGGCGAACAGCTACTACTTCTCTTTAGATGAGCAGTTGTCTCCTTACCTCTAAAATGCAGCACATTTTTTTCTTTACTGTAATTAGCATAAACATTCGGCTTAGTGCATTTTCATGACTTTTCATGCATTCTATTTTTTGTTTGTTTTGCCCAGTGAAAGCCAAATAAATTAGAGGTTTCTAGAGGATGGGGGCTTGTTGTCATGCACTAAAACACACAAAATACATGTTACTTTTGTGTTTTGTGCACTGACATTAAGATTGGCAGGGCCAAAAACTCACCCAGGTACCAGGAAGGTACCCAAAAAGCACAGCACCCAGGTGTGAATGGCCCTCTTGGGAAAATAATGGCAATTGCCTTGTCAGGCATCTGAGCAGGCTCCCTGCTTCTGTGATCACTGAAGCATGTCTCCTCCACTGTATAGGTGGGGTGCTCTTTGGCGTTCTTATATCTATACACAGTCTATGCACAGTATGTAGAGTGTGACAACACCAGGATCCTTTGACCACTGCAGCAGAGGGGGAGACACACTCCAGACACTAGTTTAAGGACAAGCCAGCTTGGATGGTCGGTGAGTATAACTTTTTTGTTTGCACCTAGACACAAACAAGCACTTAACCCTTGCAGTGCTGGGGTAGCCCCACTGCAAGGGTTACTATTCTTCTTTAAGATGAAATAAAGTGATTGTTTTTGGAGAAGAGCCCTGTTCATGTGCCGGTAGTTAAGCATCATTGAACTACAGAATAGAACAGAAACACTTACTGTGCACCAATGTCCCACATGTATGCAGATTGGAAGGGAGGAGGTTGAGCTGGTTTGAACAAAAAATAATCCTGTGTTTTAAACTAACTTCATGCACTGTTCAAAGTGCAAAAAGCTTCTAAGCCAACATTGTATAATAATTTTCAGGGACTCTATACTAGCAAAGCACTGCACTTATTCTAGTTAGTTATGATGTTATCTCCAAGGCCACAGTACAATACAACTCTAAAATGGTATCCTGACTAATTGGATTGTAAAATACCTTTTTGTTCTCCAAATAAAACTAAAATAGTAAGAGTAGAAAATATATCTAAATGTTACTGGAACATCTCCAGAAACCAACATTTCTAAGGAATGATGTCCAAACTGTGGGGCTGTCCTGGAAAATTAGCTAATTGATGGTTTACATAATGAGTGGCCTCACCTATTCTAATTGCCTGCTGCCCACATTATTGCTCAGCATACTTCGACTAATATTTATATCCGTGTAAGAGAAGAGACTTGTGAAATAACAGATTAGTTATTTTACTATATGTGGGAAACATTAATCTACAGTGCTTGCAGAAATTATTAGTATTTGCCTGTTGACCACAATCTGGACACACAATACATTGGATACGTGTTGCTCACGTTATTACAAAATATGATCAAGGTAATATTGCTATTGACATAGGAAAGGAGGTGTAAATAAACAGATGTGGTATTTATAGACATGTGACTTATTATCTACAGGCCTTGTTACAAATATTGTTTTACTGTAAACCACAGTCTAATGACAGAATACAAGAGATGCTTCTTAAAGTACACCTGTCAGGAGTTGTAATAAATAAGTCACTGTTCCTCTGTATAGGAGGTTCACTCCAGTACCGTATCATAACTTGATAGTGCCTCAACACTGGCCCAATGTGCACCAAGGGCCCTCTAAAAAAATCAACCCTGGCTTTCAGGGGAACCTACACACATAAATATTTGGTATGTGCATAAGATCGTCAGGGGGCCAAGATTGATTGGGAAACATGGATGCAGTCATAAAAAAATGTGTTAGTCACTCTCATAATCTTTTTCAGGAGAGTTGGGATGGGGTGGGGTGGGGTATCAACATTCATCCCAACAGCATATAAAACACAAGCAGTACAAGTATGCAAAGCCATAATAGTGGCTCACTTCTGTAATCAGGTTGTTCTGCAGTTGAAAGTTGTTTAGCAGAATATACCAGTCATAGTTTAGCCTTGTCAATTCGGGGAAAATCAGACAGCTTGGACCTTCACCTGTAGGAAGATAGGAACATTTACTGTCCAGGGTTTTACTCCACTGGGTACACCACCCTGTAGCCTTGCCCAACCAGGGGCATATGCTATTTCTAAGCATTCTCAGTGACCCCAATATCTTTCACAGACGCCCAGTTGTGACAGTCTCTAAAGTTATTATTATTATACAGGATTTATATAGTGCCAACAGTTTACACAGCACTTTACAATATAAGGAAGACATTACAATCATAATACAATTCAAGACAAGATGGTAAGGAGGGCCCTGCCACTGAGGGCTTACAATCTAAAAGGGAGTGACAAGTGATACATGAGGAGGTAGCTTTAAAGCTGTGGGGATAAATTGGTTGGTGGTTAGGTTGAGGTAGGATAGGCTTCCCTGAAGAGATGATTCTTAAGGGATCGCCTAAAGCCAGTCAGAGTGGGAGACAGTTAGACAGGTTGGGGTAAAGAGTTCCATAGGATGGGGAGACTCTAGAGAAGTCCCGGAGGCAAGCATTGGAGGTCTTGGCGAGGGAGCTGGAAAGCAGGAGGTCTTTGGAAGAGCAGAGGGGACGGTCAGGGTGATACTTTGAGACAAGGTTTGAGATGTTAGTAATGCATTAAAAAGTATATCACTCAGTTCCTTTGCTTGGCAACTCAACGATGTCCTTAGAGGGCTGAACAGCTCTAGTCACAAACAGCAGAGTAATCTTCCTCCTTTGTCACCATTGACTCCACAGTTGCATCCCTCTCTGCTTAAGGCTAAAACCCCCTAAACATGCTGATTTGTTTTTTTGTTGCTATGTTCTACAAAATGTTGTGCCTGCAGGTGGCTCTCTAATGAGACCTTAATAAAGGCACCATTGCTTTCCACCACCGGGCTTCATGGCAATCCTGTGTCACAAGTTGTCCTGCGGATTTCAGCACAGGCCATGCTTGGATAAAAACTCACATAATACTGTTTTACTTTCAGGACATACAGTCAAAAGTTTTATGTCCAGGAACAAAGCCTTGCACTGTAGACGTGCTGGGGCCCTCATCTCTCCTTTATAGAAACACATTGCCTTGTCTCCGTGCTGTATTTTTGCAATTGCAGTCTTGGGGTATTCTATCATCTTGCTTCTTTTTGCACTACTCTTGTACTTTGAAAACTTCACTATCCTCTTCTCTTTGGCAGGGGCCCCATGTCTTATGGCTCTATGCCAAGTTCAATGCCCAGAGGGAGGAAGGGTAATACAATTCAGATTAAAGACTAGACTTAGCCACCACCAGTATTTAACAACCACTTTGAGAAAGTTTAGCAGATAAAATTGTGAACCAACTGATTAGGCATAATACAGCCCTGTCGGTGGAGGTAAGGGGCGGGTGGCCAATGTCTGCTAAGTCTCACCATTTTTTTTTAGTTTTAATTTTTGTTTTTCTGCCAGAAGACTCATGCTTCATGCTCTGTTCCTGTCCACTGTACAAACCCCATTGAAAATATGTTCCTAAAAACGAAAATCAAATTTCTGTTCTCAGGTGTATTAAGATATATTTTGTGACCATGAATAAAGCATCTCTGTTACATGTACTGCATGCAAAATGTTCTCAAAGGATATCTAAATTCAATAATTGCAGTCTATTAGTCCTTAGATGTTGTGGCTGCATTAGTTTTTCAGGCTAAGAACATTTTCAGGAAGTACAGAACATACCTGTTGTCCTTGCCAATGAAAACAGAATTGTATCTTCATTCAAGCTATTTTCTTTTAACTACAACCCCAAAAAAAAAGTAACTACCACCCCCCCCCCCCGGCCCCCATTCCTTCCCCATGTAATGGAGATAAAGGGAGGAAGACAAGTTTGTAGTAAAAATCAGGGGAGCAACCTAGTATGGCAATAATGGCTTCCTCCAAAGAGGCAGTAGATTGAGTGTACATAGCCACCCTAGCACACAAAGTGTTTTATTAGCAGGATAACAAGAAGAAACTAAAGGGAAAAGTTTTAAAAAGAAATCGTATGCATCCACCACAACTAAGAACGTATAAGCTACAGAAATTACATTTTTGTTTTGAGTTTAGATACATTTTCACTATTTGGATATTTGCTCAAAGTGTTTTGCTGCATTCATGTTGCAAGGATCATAATAACTTAAAGGTAGAGAATTTAATTCATTTTGTGTGCTAATTTTTTTGTGTGCATTATCATAATGGAAAAAGAAACGCTCAGATACTAAACTACATGTAACTTGGCCTTGTTGCAGCCACTGTCTTCCTTGAGTTCTGGAAAAGGAGAAGAGCTGTATTAACCTACGACTGGGACCTCATTGATTGGGAAGATGAAGAGGTACACCTTTTTTTAAACTTTTGTCCATTGGCTTTTTGATTGTATCTGCTCATTGTAGGCTTTGGACCAGCTAGTTCCATGGAGTCTTGAAGTCATCCATGTGCTATTTGTAATGGCAGTTATATAACTACATTTTAAATATTATATCAGCTTAGCATGTACACCCCTGATGAAAGTCAGAATAAAACCCTTCTGGTATTGTTTCTTGCAAAGTACAAATTCTGTTGCAAGTAGAACAGCCTATTTGCCTATAGTAAATTGACCACCTTAATCATCAGCACCATTTGATTTGAGTACATTTGTTACCAAGACCCCTAATCATGTGCAAATGTTTTCCAAATACTGTCAAAAGCCATAATATTAACTATAATTGTGCATAAATATCCTTTAAGTTATCCCCCAACAAATCTTCTTCACGTGCATGTAGCAAAATAACTTCATTCCTATAACCTCCCAATGATAGCCAGCCCTTCCATAGTAATGGGATTTATCCCATTATTTGATGTTATGCTATGTTCATTTCAAATGTATAGAAAGCTACTGCATCACTTAAGACTCCATTGACCATTTGTGCAGCTTTATGTTGGGCTTTTTTTTAGCATAATGGTAAACAAAAGAACGGTATATGTTGCCCACAGAAATGTATGTTAAGTCAAGTAGACTCTGTACTATCAACCTCCATTTACATAATCTTACCTCTACTTTACTGTTACAGCAATTGTGCAGAATGTCTAGGTATGACTACAAAGTCTAATAGGCACCAACATTAGACCAACTAAACACAGTAATTAGCACTAAGTAACCCCCTTTCCTCTGCAATACACATCTGTCCAAAGACACTTGTTATGAAGGATGTGGCTGTTGCTAGGGTGGGAGGGCAAAAATCAACATCTTAACTGGAGAAAAATGTATTTCAATGCATTCAAGAACTATAAAGAGATCAGTGGGTATCAGGCTTCAATTGGCCTTTAAATTCGTGAAGTGATGTACATTTGAATTAATGGTTTTGTGTCTTCTAGGAAGAGTTGCGTCCACAATTTGAAACAAAATATTCTAAATTGGAACGGGTGAATCCAATAACTGGCAAACCAGAGCCTTTCCAGCCATTCAGTGACAAACTCAGCCGACTCATGGTGTCTGTTTCAGGAATATTCTTCATGGTAATGATTCATATCTTCCAGTCAACTATATTTACATCATGTTGGCTTTTTAGGTTCTTCTCCTGAAAATGCCAGCCCACTGCAAGTGAAGCCTGTTTAAAAAGCAAAATGTGTCATTTATTAGAATTTTTTAGAATTATTTAGAAAGTATGGAGTCAGCGAAGAGGGCAAGGGTGTACAAAGGGACTTGGATGTGATTTTTGTTTTAACAGATCAGGGCCTGTAAGTTCAAGATAACCTTACTTTAGTACAATGCATAACCAAAACAGCAATATACAATGTATGTAGTGCCAGAGTACCATATGTTAGTCGGTTCTGCTTAGCTGCTTTGTTCAAAGGTAACCAGCCCCACAATGGATGAATTACATATATTTTAGAAAACAAAAAACTCAGATGTTCATTTAGAAACTTTAATAAGCCAAGAGAACGTTTAAATAAAATAGATGGTAACTACACAAGTTTATAATTTTGTCACAACACAATAATCAATAGCCATCTCCATCCCATGGCCTCTAAGAATTTAGTTAACTAACGGTCTTCAGTATTGCTTTAGTTTTAAAAAGTTTTTGATGATAAATATTTACATGTCTAAAACAATGAAAGCTGACAGATCAGCAGATGACACATTTTTGCAGGACAGACCTTATTTGAGATCCCTAGAAGTTGTAGGACACAGATTTCAATTCCTTAAAGTCCAGCTCCTTCAATTTACTCATATTAAGCAGAGTAAGGAAGGATTAGAACCACTGTCACATTTGAATTCTTGTCCTTGTCCCCGTTGGAGAGATTTCCCCTCATGTCCTGGTCACCTGGACAAGAAATTATGAAAAACCTTATCAAGGAGGACCCCAACAGGTTATTATCTATCCCTATTCTACTAAAATGTTTTTGTCTACAACCACATTAAAGAGATGAATTCTCGCTTTCTGTCCCCAGGACACCAAGATAATACATAGAAAGTTAAAAGATATCCCCCCAATAGGTACATAGACAGCAATAAAACCATGACAGAGGTCCTTGCCCAATGCTTTTTTCAGGAGGAATGCCAAAAACTAGTTTCAAACCATTTATAAGTGTGAAAAAAGAACAAAGTCAACAGAATGTGCAGTTTCAGGTGATTAACACTTACTGTGCTGTCTTCCATTGTATTTTCATATATTTTATTGAATGTGTTTAAATTTAGATATCCCTGGTGTTGACAGCAGTCTTTGCTGTGGTTGTGTACCGGCTAGTTGCCACGGAGCAGTTTGCATCATTCAACTGGGATTTTATCAAGAAGTACTGGCAGTTTGCGACATCTGGCACTGGTGTCTGCATAAACTTCATGATCATAATGTCCCTTAATGTTGTAAGTTTCTGTCCCTGTTTTTTAACTAAAGCTAATTTTTGCAATAATGAATACTATTTTCAGCACTTATTGGCTATGGTTGCTATATATATATATATGTATATCTATAGATATACATATATACTGTATCTATATCTATAGATATAGATATATCTATAGATATAGATATATCTATACATATAGATATATATATATATATATATACACAGACCTGAGGCATCCGAGATTCCCATATCTTCAACTGTCCCTTACCTCATACAGCAGAGGTGCATTATTGAAGCAAGGAGCCTGGCAGATGGTCATGTGACCACCCGCCAGGCTTCCTGATTGGATGGGAAGCCGCAGCCATGTTCCCTCGGAGCTTCCCAGGCACCGACCTCACATGGCTGTTATGTGAGGAATGTAAGTGGCAAGCGATCTGTATGAATGAGCCGGTCACAGAGAGATCTTTGTGATCTCTCCACCGGCTAAGTGACTAAAAACACAGCATCTGCTGTTGCGGCTTTGGTGTTGCACTCTGGGTGATTTGGGTGTGCCCAGGCACACCCTGTGTGCATGCCTATGTTCAAGGACCAGTCCAGGAGACAGCAGGTTTTATTTTAGGAGTCAGCTCCATTGACAACAACTAGAAAGAACCTGAATGTTTGGTGCCAGCTGTCAGTTTTAAGGAGCATTGGCTCTTTGGTTCCTGAGGTTTGTGTAGCCCTGGGCTACAGGGAGAGTAAGTATTATGGTTAGGGTTACAGGGAGTGTTAGTGTCAAGGTGAGGGTTCCAGGGAGAGTCAATGTTAGGGCATGGGTTACTGAGAGAGTTAGTGCTAGGGTTGTAGGGAGGGTAAGTGTGAAAGGAATCTTTTGATTACGGTTCCAGAGAGGGTTAGTGTTAGAGTGGCAGGGAGGGTTAATGTGAAAGGTGTCTTAAAGAAAAACTCCAGGAATGCACAAAATTAACCTTTGCCCCCACATGGCAAGGGTTAAGTGCTTGTTTTGGTCTAGGGTCTAAAGTAAAAAATATATACTCACCTGATCCTTGGTCCCGCTGCAGTGACCACTGACCTTTTTCCTTCCTAGGCTCCAGCTGTAGAATGCCTCTCGGCATCGTCATGTCCAATGCAAGTGAATGGATGTGATGACTTCACAGGTCCTGAAACCACTGGAGCCCAGTGGAGAGGAGGCTGCATTGGCCAATCTGGCAGCCACACAGGACCGAGGTTCGATTAAGTTTACCCTAGACCACAATGTGCACCGTGTGTGCAGTGTCAAGATAGCCCCACTGCAAGGGTTAATTTTTTACATGTCTGGGGTTCTTCTTTAAGGTTACGGTTACAGGGAGTGTTAGTGTTAGGTTTCCATCCAGGGTTGGTGTTATAAAGAAGGTGTCATGATCCGGACTCACAGATGTGATCTGGAGTCTAGAATGTGGACCCTTGCTACACTTGCAGGGGCACCTAGATCAAAGGGTGCAAGCAGTTTAAGCTGACAACTCCCTGAGCTCAGAGAGGTCATGTTGCCTAAAGAAAATGTATCTGACATATTGGAATGGTAAGTGTTTGAGTATTATATATTTATTGACTGTTTGTGTTTCTTTTACAGATATATGAGAAAGTAGCATATCTTTTAACAAACTTAGGTAAGCTCACTATCAAGATCAATTATACAAAGCTACAATGGTTGTATAATGGATTGATACACATTTGTTAAGAAAATGGTAATGGACCAGCTCAAGTGGAATTGCAAGTTAAACATTTTAGGAAAAAGAGTTAGGAAATCTTTGACCTTTGTATGGTTGTTTCTTACAGAGACTACAGATTCAGTTGTTCTTATTTAATTGTCACATATGTCTGGAAGACTCAACACAGAATCATATCCTTCATGTGAGGAAATATACCCTCATGTACAAACAGTATATAAAAACAAACAGTATACATAAACAAGGTTTTGATGACATAGCACACACTTATTGTACGTTAAAGTTAACTTTTCTGTCCATTGGAGCATCTACATATCTGTTGTACTTTTCTTGAGTGTCCTGAACTTACAAATATGATATGCTAATACTAACTTGGTAATGGAAAGTCAATGGCATGTTCACACTCTGCCTATGAAGCAGAAAAAGTGTGAGGGACAGAGCTGCTATTGACAATCCTTTATCAAGTCTATATTTGCATATCAGAGAGCAGACCTATGGTGCTCAAGAAAAGGTTAAAAATATGTGCCAAAGAGTAAAAAACTTTAATGGGAATAAGTTTGATAATGTAAGATTATGTTTTAAAAACCTTGTTTTCTTATACCTTGCAATTATATATGTGTATGGGTGCAGCCATAGTTGGTTAAAAGCAGGTTTTGTTTTCTGGATGCGTCCTTCTGATCCTTTTATCTAATAAGGGGTCTATGCACTAAGCTGCCGTAGGCAGACGAGTGAATGACCGACCTGAAGTGAAGTGAGCCGAACACTGTTCGGCTATTCACTTCAGGCTGGTACGGCTGATTTCAGCCGTACATCAGCTGAAATCAGCCGTACATTGGCTGAAATCTGCTGTACATCGGCTTGCTTCGCGTGGCGTGGCGTGGAATTCAGGCATTCGGATGTCCACATTCTCAAAATGTTGTCCGAATTGGCATTTGGGATGAGATGAAATTTACAAGTCTGAATCTTAGAAAATGTGCTATTATGCCTAGCTGGTATGTTGAGCTTATATTGGTATGCTGCATATAAAGATTTCTAAAGTTGATTGTCTGTGGCTGTAACAATGGAATGTGCAGTGATGTTGTGATTTATTTCTAGAGCATCCAAGAACGGACTCAGAATGGGAAGACAGTTTTGCTCTGAAAATGTTCCTGTTCCAGTTTGTCAATTTGAACAGCTCAATATTTTATATTGCCTTCTTCCTTGGCAGGTGAGAATCACAATTAACTCCAAATGTACAGTGGAGTCGTTATATACTGTAATACACTCATCAGACTCCTTTAACTTTCCTTCATCCTGTTCTCACCATATGTGGAATGGCTGAAACACTAGAAGACCTGCATAGCACTATGCATGTCTGATAGCCTTGTTGTGTGTTTTTTTGTATTTTCACCTGTCATTTCCTTGTATGTACCTTCAACACTGTGTGGAATATATAATTTGTATCACTTGTTACACCTGAATAAATAGAAGCCGATTTACAAAAGAAGTAGAGAAGGTTTACTTAACTTAGTGAAATAAATTTAGCTATGTTCACATTAAGGGCCCATTCACACCAATGCCATGTGTTAATCACATGGTTCCATACATGGTACGTGCAATGCACCTACTGTGTGTTACAGTGTGGCTGGGGTGTTGCATTGCTATTTATTTGAATGGCACCTCAAATACACTACCTGGCTGCAATGTGCTTGACCACACAGCAATGTGCAGTACCGCAATACCATGCTTTTGAGCTTAAAGAAAATAGTGCACGCACTACTTTTTTCAACCATACCACAACAGTATTGCGATCACGTATGGAACCATGCGAATAACACGCAGGATTGGTGTGAATGGGCCTTAGAGCCTTTAAATTATACATTGCAGCTTTCCAGTTCTTAGATATGGTGGCTGCTATTGTTTTAGGTTTTTTCCCTTTATTTTCACCTGGTAATCACATGGTTTGCCTGAGGAAAGGGATCTTGCGTGACCTCGAAACGTTGCATTTGTGTGATATGTTGCACATACTGTCAATAAAGGGCGTTATCTTCACCTGATTTGGAGAGCCGGTGTCCCATAATTATATGTATGTGACGGCGCCATCCATTGATCACCGCTGCACCCACCAGCTGATTATGAAAAAATAGGAGTGCAATGGGTTCATGGACTTTTGCTAGACACCCAGCCTGGGGACGCCTCTGATAATGAAATCTGCCAGCACAGTACAGACAGGGCTAACAATACTTAGGGAGAAGCTAGGTAGAATTTTTAAGCAAGTAAAAAGCCCATAAAAATTAAAGTAGCAATTTATTTTAGGTTTTGCATTGTGAATGGGTACATATAACAAATATAAGGTTGGTGTTACCCCAATTTGGCTGCAAAAGTGGAAATACACTTTAAGTTGTAAAGCTTCAAAAGAATGACAAGCATGCAGTGAAAACTTTTGGGAGTGTCCTCGCAAAAAAATAAATAAAATACTGGGGTCTATTCACTAAGCTGCCGGGGGCAGCCGAGTGAATGACCGATCTGAAGTGAAGTGAGCCGAACACTGTTCGGCTATTCACTTCAGGCTGGTACGGCTGATTTCAGCCATACATCGACTGAAATCAGCCGTACATCAGCTTGCTTCGCGTGGCTTCGGGTCGGAGGCAGCTTCGTGAATAGACCCCACTGTTTGCTTAGTTGATAGAATCTCTCATTAATGACAGAATGGCCCACTGACTTTCATTTGTTTAAGTCTGGTATTGACCTACTTACCCTGCTGGGACGTAGAAGAGAAATGCTAATATATTCAACTAGATTTCACCTGTGTAGAGATAGATTTTACATGTGAAAAGAAAGATAAATGGCTTATTTGAATACTACAAAACCAGCGTTCAATGTACTGTATGTTGTTTTCTGTGTCTGACCTGTTACTGCCCTGCGGGCCAAACATGAGACTGGGATTTCCCAGTAAGTATAAAAACCTGTCTAGTTGTGGAAGAATGTTCAAACACAGGCTACCTGAATAATCAGAATGTCTTCTAGTGCTTTGTCAGAATGAAGGGAATGTGTTCAATGTAAACTAATTTGCAGTGTCAGCCTCTTGCAAGTGGTATGAGTACATCTTCTGAGTTTGAAGTGTTGCATTTGTAGATTTTTGGAGCATCACATTTTTTTTACGCCTTTTTAAAAAAAAAATTTTTGATTGATTTTTAGATTAAGACAAAATTGATTATTCCACTATTGCAGTTTTCATAGTGACCCCCAATTCTGTGTCAGACAAAAGCTATCAAGAAAGCAAATAACTAACCTGAAATAAGTATTCTATGTTTATGAGTGACTTGATCTATGGGTGAAGGAAGTGATCATCCATCAGTGGCTCCTGAGCTACACATTACCCTGTCCTATATTTGATGAGTATAAGGGCTCATTCAGATGGGCGTGCATGTCTGTATAGCATGCACGACCCCTAAAATGACACGGTCATGGAAGGGGCGGGTGCTACATCTAACTGTGTGCAGTAGCCTGTTCTCCCCTCGGGGTTAGGAAAGAAAAGGCTGTTGAGTGCAATTAAATGCAGCACCTGTCCCTTCCGGGTTCAGGTCATTTTATGGGTGTGCACACTGTATGGACGTGCACACCCATCTAAATGAGCCCTTAAGCTGATACATGTTATAAATAAATTGTACAGTCTCCCTTAGCTATACCAACCTTACTATCTGATTGTACAATCTCCTGTGTGATATAAGGGGCTAGCCAAAACAATCCATATCCATTCAGGCAATCCCTTGCACTTCATGGTTGTTGGTAGATCTAAATCAGATTGTACAATCAGTTTGTAATGTATACTGTACTGTTAGCTTCAGAAAGAATTACATTGGGGTCTATTCACGAAGCTGCCGAAGGATCTGGCCGTAGCTTCGGCCGAAGCTCCAGAGCGCCCGGGAGAGTTTTTTTTCTTTTTTTTTGTTACAGCAGCAGAGCCGCCGGACAATAGGAAACTATTGGGCGGAGTTAGCTGTCACAATCGTTTTCTATTTCCTTTTTTTTACTTTTTTCACTATTTTTTTGTTCTGCTCGGTACCTCTGAGGGACCGAGCAGAACAGCCGAGCCGAATGCTGCTCAGCGGCATTCGGCTATTCACTCACTGCTGTTCGGCATCTTTAAAAATAGCCTGAACAGCAGTGAGAAGCCTGCCGGAGGTTCGACTCAGCCGATGCAGATGTTGGATTGGCTGAGTCGAACTCCTTCTGCACTTCGGGTCGGCCGAACATGCTGAGCATGTTCGGCCGACCTGAAGCCACGCGAAGCAAGCCGATGTACAGCTGATTTCAGCCGATGTACGGCTGAAATCAGCCGTACCAGCCTGAAGTCACTTCACTTCAGATCTGTCTTTCACTCGGCTGCCTACGGCAGCTTAGTGAATAGACCCCATTGTTTTGCTGGTCTCATTCACCTAGAACAGAAAGTAAAATGTCTGTATTGCTGTTGATGAATTGGTGACCCTGGCTTTTCATGTGCTTGCTTTTATAATGCTGAACTCAGAAGCCCTGTTAGACAGCTATTCACCATTCAACAAATCCCTACTATTTTTGCCCTGGTGAAGATGACTCTTATGGTTTCTCCAGTTGGGCACACCAATTATCAGACTTCTTTTTGCATAAACAGGTTCAAATTGGTAACCATACACATTTTGCATATTTCTTCATAGTGTCATCCAAGTGGGTGTCTTATAGACCTCTGTTTACAAATGGGCGTTATCATGGTCCTGAAACAAATGTGGAATAACTTCATGGAATTAGGATATCCGTAAGTAAAATATATTCAGTTTCCTGATCCTGCCTATTCATTTTTTATGTATACTTTCAAGATGGCTCTGTTCTAAATCATTACCCATCTACTATGAAGGATGTGTCAGTTTTATATTAAAAAAAGAAGGCTTCAGAGGAAGTTTTTGTGAGACAGAAATGATAGAATCCCACCTATTAGGCTTTAGAGCCTGGTCAGGGAGAGTGAGGACGGGTTTCCTGGCCACCACTTTGAGTGAGATGAAGAATCCACAAGTAGTTAGACATGTGCGATTCGTTTCATTCCGAATCAAAATTCACACAAATTTTCCAGAATTCAGACATTTAGACATTCCGAATCCCAATGCATCAGATGAATCCCAATGTGTCCGAATCTGAATTTCTGTTTCCAAATTTCAGATTCCATCTGAATTTCATTCAAAAACTAAATTGAATCAGACATGTGACTTTTGTGGCCAATCAGATGTGTTTTCCGGTTTAATGCACCCGAATGGGTCTGAACACGAATTTACGGCAACATGGGAGCCATATATACAGTATATACCTATAATCCTAAAGCTGAGGCTCCTAGACCCAAATGGCATTTCTGAATTGCATTTGGAAGCTCCCGAATGCCATTCGAGTCTGGGAGTCTCAGCTTTAGTAATATACAGTATGTATATGGCTCACAGACCCGAATGGTATTCGGGAGCTCACGAATGCAATTTGGAAGTTCGGATCCTGAATATCATTCGGGTCTGGGAGCCATATACATATATTACTAATATTACTATATATTACATATATTACAGCTCTGGAAGCTGAGGCTTCCAGACCCGAATGGCATTCGGGTGCTCCCAAATGCAATTCAGATATTTGGATCCCGAATGCCATTCGGGTCTAGCAGATTAAGCTTTAGTATTAATATCTGTATGTAGTTTTCTGTGGTATTTGCAACAAATATTTGTAAAAACTAACTAATATTCCAAAACTCATAAAAGTTTGGATTTCGTCCGAATCCAAAACTCTAACCGAATTGAATTTTGGATCCGAATTTCCGAAATAACGAAATATCCGAACCAAATTTTTCTGCAGCTTACATGCTTACAAGTAGTTTAAAAAACAGGAAGTTCCCTTTCAAGGTGAGTCTCTAACAAAAGATCTGGCCAGAGAGTTTGGATTGTGTTCTATGTTAAGGTATGCCTCTGAATGTGAAGAGCATTAGTTGCCCCACTGCTTGTGACAGAAAAATCAAATTGGGTCAAAAAAGTCCTAAACTTAACAATGTTGTGTCAACTGACCTTTCTGTACCTCCCTGTTAATGCTAAACCCTCACACAGATATGTCTTGCCTTGCCTTATCCTTGAAGACAGATGTCAGAGACAACGGTCCAAAAAGCCCTTAATGAAACATTTGGACTAACAAAACATGAAGATGGTTGTCACTGTACAACGTGTTCATGTTTTAAACTACATCATAGGTGAAGGCAGGATAATTCTTAGGTGGATAGATTGGGTATTGGAAAACTGCACAGTGGCCTCCCAGATAGCAAGCAATCGAGCTGCAAGTTTGAAAATGACTTGCTAAACTATTGCAGACTTGCCAAGCTTCACAATTTTGATGCACAATTATAGAAAGTCTGCATTGCAAGTCTCCAGTTCAATGTGCATTGCAAAAGTGATGTACACTTGCAGATCTCTTGCTAAGACCTGCAGGACTCTTGCTGTAGACTTGCCAAGCAAATTTGCTGCAAATTCAAAAAGTGTCAACTAGAACTTGTGCTGCAAGTGTTCTGCAAGTCTACAACTTGCCAGGAATGTGTGCAGCAAGTTAGAAAGAATTACAATTTAACACTGCTACAAGTTTGTTGCAAGTTATCCTTGCTATCTCGGCTTCCACAGCCAGTAAGAGTCTACTAATTATTTCTTTATGAAGAAGACTTTAGTTGGTAAATGTTCAGCGCAGCATTATATACGATTCCAATTTAACCAAATATACATTTTTATAATATATTTTCTATGACATATCATTTGTAACAGATTACTACAGAACTGGTGGTCACGAAGGAAAATAAGGAAAGGTGGACATGCAGTGGAACACAAAATAACTTTACCTCAGTGGGAAAAAGACTGGAACCTGCAGCCAATGAATGCTCATGGGCTTATGGAGGAGTACCTAGAAATGGGTATGTTTAATGGGAATAAACACACATCCCAGCACATATAGATAATCAACTTAAAGTGTAAACCCTAGCAATAAACTTCTCGCATTTTGTCTATTGAAAGGATGTTGTTCAATACTGAAAGTGCAAAAAATGTACCTGGTGATCCTGCTAGAAATCCACAGCTGTCTTATGGACTGTGCACTCTTCAGTGCCACCTAAGTAGTGTTACCAGGAAGTATGTTAGGACTACATAACACCTCCCCCATGTTACAGATATAAAGAAAAAAGAGGTGTTCTATAATCCCTAAAACACTCCCTGTCCTTGGGTGGCAATGCTGATCCTTCATATATACATATACATTGTGGTGAGTGAGCATTTTCACTATAGATAGATCAGGAAGTGTGTTTTGGCACGATTACCAGATGAAAATAAAGGAAGGAAAGAAAACTGCTGCAGCCACCACATCTTAGAACTAGTGAGCTGCAATGTATTACATTTTAGTTCTTGGGTTTAGATAGACTTTATGAGGTATATTTATAAACAATTCTCAGAGCCATTCATCCACAAAATGCTGTGAACGTACATTATGTGTGAATGGAGGCAAAACAAACATCCTAAGTATATTTGGCATCACCCAAAAACTGAAATAGCACTTTTGCTAAGGTAAGGTAGCTTTACCTTATAAACCTGGGTTAAGTTTTTCAGCCAAGCCAAAAAAAAAGTTGTGATTTGCCACAATAAATATAATAATGACTTGCTATTCTAATCTGATATCTAATGTTCCAATATTCAGTCGTTCAGTTTGGATTCACCACCATCTTTGTTGCGGCTTTCCCACTGGCTCCGCTCCTGGCACTGCTAAACAACATTATTGAAATCAGACTGGATGCTTATAAGTTTGTCACCCAGTGGAGAAGACCAATGCCAGCACGAGCCACTGATATAGGCAAGTATAACCTAATGATAGAATTCCGCCATGCAAGAATACAATATACAGTAAACTCTGTTATCCGGTATTCAACTAACTAGAACTCTTATCTAACCAGAAAAAAAACCACTGTGTACTAACTGTTCTGCTGATCTGAGGCATGTATTATCTTGGAAGCGATTGTGTGCCTATTTGTCTTAATTTGTTTGAAGTGTGTCTATTTGCCTTAATTTGTTTTTGATTGCTGCATTTAAATATTAATATGAAGTCAATACATAGTTTATATTATAATATGGTATAGTATGGGGTAGGGCATAGGTTAGACCTATTGTTAATAGTAACTCTCAAGCAACCAGAAACTACATTTATCCAGAATCTACCAATCCCTGTGGATGCTGGATAACGGGGAGTTTACTGTAATATTGTTATATATACAGGTGAAACTCAAATAATTAGAATATCGTGCAAAAGTAATTGCAGTAAGTGCTGCAAAAGGGGCCCAAACCAAGTACTGAGTACACATGCATGCTTGTACTTTTCAGAGGTCCGATATTGTTCTATGTACAATCCTTGTTTTATTGATTGCATGTAATATTCTACTTTTTTGAGATTGTGGATTTGGGGTTTTTGGGGTTTTCATGAGCTGTAAGCCATAATCATCACAATTATGACAAATCACGGCTTGAACTATCTTGCTTTGCAATTCATCTTAGTCCAATTACATCAGTGCATCCCGTCAAGCTGCAAGCAGGGAATTATCTACCTGGCACAGAAGGAGCTTTGTTTTTCATTTTTGAGAAGTTCCTCTCGAGTTCGGAGGATTTGGATTTTGGGGTCGGTCCGAACATGAGCTCATCCCTAACAATTAAAATGAATGGTGTTTGATTTCTTAAAGTGGATGAGTTGTTTTAAAGCATGAGCTCCAGGCAAGCAGCTAAATACACCACTGCAATGCATTTGTATTTCAAATGTTGTATCTTTTAATTGGATCCAGCCAGTCCTTGGATTTACACAGATCATCCAGATATCACAGCCAAGTTGATGACCTCCGATTTCTCTACTGCAATTAAGCAATAGAGATAGGTCACCACTCCCAGCTTTTGATTGGACAATGAAAAAGAAGCAGGCTGATTAGGTAATCTTCTCTATTCTGCTGTTTCCATGTTCCTTGACAGCATATGTGCATGCAGCAGAGCCTGTATGGCCCAGGCTGCTGTCCTCCTCATTGTCTGAGGTCTACTGTACAGAGTATTGCAAGAGGCTGATATCAAAACAGTTTCTGATATTAGCATTAGTTTCACATAAAGTGTATGTAAGGACAACACTTTTTTTTTTTATATTCGGATACAGCATGGAAGATTTAAAAACCCTGTCAAGTTATTTTTTATTTCTTTTTGGTCTATGCCCCTTCGGGGAGATTTTCCGCCACTTCCTGTCCTGCATGCACAAAATGGTGGGGGATTTCTCCAAATAGAACAGAATTTCCCTCTAAGTGAGTTGTCATAGGAACAGGTGCCAGTGTTGGAGGATTATGCTTTACCACTTGCTCTGATGACAAGTTAAACTTTTTGGAATATTCCCAATTTCTGTCTTGGTGACAATGGCCACCAGCACAAAGAGATGGATGATCTCCCCAACAGTAATCCAGATGGGAATAAAAACTTAACAAAGAATCTAATCCTTCCCCACTCAATCCAAAACTAAGAAAACATGTTTTCCCCCACATACACATACTCATTTAAAGCTGAACTCCAGGATAAGAAAATATTGCCTAAAAACAAGAGCCATGTGTATTCTTACTGGAATCTTGGTGAGCTTTGTGTAATTTCTCCAGATATGTGCAGTAATCCAGTGTGAAACCTCTGTACAGGAACTTCCTGTAATGAAGACCGGTCACTGCTGCCCACTCTCCTTGTGCAGGGTGACTGGTCTTGCATCTACCCCCTCCTGTATATACAACAAAGAGGAATCTCACCACCTAGGTGCCTGCGGGTGAAGGTCAGGAGCCATCCACGTTTCAGAGAAACAAAATATAAAGGGAAAAAGATACACTCCAATGTCCACTGAATACAAACTTTATTCCTTGATAATTACTAGAGGTGCACCAAAATGAAAATTTTAAAACCGAAACAAAACTGAAAAAAAATTAAACATTTGTATTTTTTACTTTATTTTTAGGGGCTTTGGGGAAGTTTTAGGGGTCTAAACAGACCCCTGATATTTCCCTTTTAAAATAAAAAAAGAGATTGAGAACACAGAGTCCTCAATCTTTTTTTCTGAAGCCCCTGTTATAAATGAACAGGAATGCTCTATGCTGAGTGTTCCTGTTTTATCATAACTTGTAACTTGTGCAAATAGTATGTTTACTATAACCTCAATCATGAATGAACAGGAGGTGATATAGATCATTCCCATTAATTCATAATTGAGGATATAATAAACATACTCTGTCCTCAATTATTTACAAACAGTCAGTGATCTACTTCCTGACAGCTATCAGAAGAGGCTGGGCAGGCGGTGCGGGTAGGAGAGCTGGATCTGACAGCTGACTCCTCCCCGCACCGCCAGCCGGTCTGCTGTGACAGCGCTGGCTGTCTTTGCCCCCACACACCGCTCTCCTCTGATTTGTGACAGGAGGCTGAGCGGTGTGGAAGAGAGACTCCGGCCGCTTACAGCGCTCTCCCGCCTGTGACAGTTTCACTCCTCCCCATTGGGACACAGAGCAGCGCCCAGCGGGAAGGAGAGAAAGCTGGGATGCCCCACTATATCGGCAGAAAAATTGCACTTTCTGCATTTTGCCAAAAGTGCCATTTTGTCCGATATGTTTTGGCGGCCGATATATCGGTGCATCCCAAGAAATTACAGCTTCCAACATGACGAAATTCTCCGACCCAGTTACCGCCCACCATTGATGGGTTTTACCCTTATGGGCTTAATTGTAGGGAGTTACATCATGTTGGAAGCTGTAATTATCATGAAATAAAGTCTGCAGTCGGAAGACATTGGTGCACCTCTTTTTATTTTGAGTTTATTGCAAGTCTGTAGTGGGTGAAGCCTTCCGAGTCCCTTCTATAGCTCTGTTCTCTGCACAGGCTATGTGCAAGGATGTCACTGTTACTCTCACAAGTTAATAACTGGTTCAGCAAATGCATTTAGTGCAGACAAAGTAGATTTACTGTATATCCTTTGTGGCTATTGAGGAATATGTTTAAATGAACGTTTTGTGCCCAAAGTTCAGCTTTATTTTTTTTTTTTTAATGAATACATAATTTTATTAAATGGTGTTTTTATTAAATAGATGCCTGGGGTTTAATCTGAACCTAATGTTCCACTTAATCCTACAATCATTCTGTGATTAAAATGTTTCATTCACAAATAGAAACATCACTTAGGTGTGTAACTGCAGCTGATCAGTCAGTGTATACAGTTAAAGTGTTGTATCTCTTTGCAGGCATTTGGTATGGAATTTTGGAAGGAATTGGAGTTATGGCTGTCATCACCAATGCGTTTGTCATTGCTATAACATCCGATTACATCCCCCGTTTTGTTTATGCCTTTAAATACGGACCATGCATAGATCAAGGATACAGACATGAAAAGTAAGATATGTTTCCCAGTAACTACTAGTATAAAGTTTGGTAAAAGGAATAACCATGTCCAAATTTGTTCTTATTTTCCAGATGTCTCCGTGGTTATGTTAATAGCAGTTTATCAGTGTTTGATCTAAGTGAGCTCGGAGACGGACAGACAGGTTACTGCAGGTACTTAGCACTGTTTACAAGAAATGACATGAGGACTTTGCCAGTATAAATTGGGTTTATTGTCTGTCCACTAAAAAAGATGTAGCTGTGCAGTGTTGTAATCCTGTCCTGTAAAGTTAGACAAGTGCTTATGCTTTCAGCTTATGCTATGTTGTGCTTAAAGTATACGTACAGTCAAAATAAAAAAAACACTTACACAGTACATCTCTGCAATACATACATATGTCCATTTGTTATCACTTTAAAGAATCTGTAACTACAGAAAAATATGTATTAATCAGCCAGAAATGCACTCAGCTTCTACTTCTCTGTTATGGCTGACAACACACATTTTTGTGGACTGCGGGGTGTCAGCCCTGCCCATTTCCAGTGCTGTACATCCCTTTTCTCTTTTTATGTTTTTATAAAGGAAGTTATTATTAAAGGAGCTGTATAGAGCACAAGTGATTGTTATCTAACAGTCTTCAGTATTGACAGTGTATTATACCTCCTGTACATTACCGGAAGTTGTTAGACGTGTAGGTGAGGAGTGGGTCTGGTTCGTAGTACTGTACCTCCTGTACATTACCGGACGTTGTTAGACGTGTAGATGATGAGTGGGTCTGGTTCGTAGTACTGTAACTCCTGTACATTACAGGAAGATGTTAGTCTTGCAGATGAGGAGTGCCTGCCTCTTCTTCCGGGTCTGGCACTGCACATTACAGGAAGTTGTACAAACATCTGTCCAAGTTGCATTTAAAGTAGAACTCCCTACAAATTTTATTTTTTTATTTTTTGGTTAGTATGGTGTGGGGTTAGAGCCACTGTGAGGACAGCAAAACAAACGTCACAGGGGGTTAACGCTTCCCTATGCTATCCATAACTAAAACAAAATTATTTGGCTTGGGTTACACTTAAAAAATGTACCTGTTCCATCTTACGTACAAATTCAACTTAGGAACAAACCTACAGACCCTATCTTGTTTGTAACCCGGGGACTGTCTATATATGTA